TCCTCATATTTAATAGATAGTTTGGCTAGTTATAGAATTTTAGATTGGAAAGAAATTTTTTCTCATAATTTCCAGGTCATCGTTCCAGTTTATTCTAGCTTCCAGTATTGCTGTTGAGAAGTCCAATGCCACTCTGATTCCTAAATATTTTTAACATGATCTCCTTTTTTAACCTGAAAACTTCAATGATATTTTTTCTTCCAGTTCTGAAATTTCACAATGGTGTGTGTGCCTTGTGAGTTTATTTTCGTATATTAGGCTGGGCACATTATGTATTTATCCTTTCAATCTGGATACTTATACACTTCAGTTTTGAGAAGTTTTCTTGAATTATTTCTTTGATGAATTCCTTCCTTCAGTTTTCTCTTGTTCACTCTTCCTGAATCTCCTATTGTTCATTTATTGAGGTCTTCTTTAATGTCTTTCAATAAAGTTTAAAATTTTTCTTCATAAAGATGTTACATATCTTTTATCAGATTATTCCTAAGTACTCTATTTTAGCTGCCATTATTAATTATATCTCTAAATCAAGGTTTCTGTTTACTGCTTGTGTATAACAAAAGGCAGTTGATTTTTACAGCATTCTTATATTCATTCACCTCTTAAACTTTCATATTAATTCCAATAATTAATTCTAATATACATAATCATATTGTCTGTGGTTAATGGCCATCCGTTTCTTTCTTTACAATATTTAAATCTTTTTTTGTCTTACTATGCTGACTAGGACTTCTAGTACATTGTTCAATAGAAGCAGTGATAAGTCACCATCCTTATCTTGTTCCTGACAGAGAAGGAAATGCGTCTAACCTTCATATTTACATCAATTTCAGTGGTGAAATATTAGAAATATTAGAAACATTTCCTTTATTGGGTTGAGGAAGCTTCCTTCTGTTCCTAGTTTGATAACAGCTTTTAATCATGAATGATGATTGGATTTTATTCATGTTTCTGCATATACTAAAATATCTACATCTTAAATATATAGAATGCCCCTTTACTAAAAACTCTTAATCCTGTAATCCAAAGATAAATTATTTTACTATTGTGATTATACTGTATATGCATTATATTATTTTTACATATTAACATTATCTTGGGAACATTTCATTATATGCTTAAGTTTTCTTCAAAAGTATGTCTTTCAATGACTGCAGTTTTAAATCTCTTGTATGTAACACACATTTCCCAATTCGAGAGCACTAATGTTTTTAATTTCAGTTTCATAAATATATGTTCTTATTTCCGATTATTTCCTTAAAATAAATTCCTGGTAATGGAATTATTTGGTGTATTTTTTTAGCTGTATGTTTATGAGCATAGTATGAGAATGCCCTGTTCATGCCAGCCTTGTTGTCATTGAGTATATTACCACCGATGTTGTGGTAATACTTTTAAACCAAAATGATGGGCAAAAAATTATATTTTGCTTGCATTTAAAAAATTACTAATGT